TTGTGAGACGGGCGGACTCCACTCAAGTTTTTTTAATTAAAAATAGAGGGGGGCCGTTTGGGATTTTAAAATGGGGGGGGGGGGGGGACGATTCTTTTTGGGGAAGGGGAAGGAGACGATCTATATTATATATATATAGCATCTTAACAAAAGACGCTTGACTTAATTTAAATACAACGTCTTTATAAAAGACTCTATACTTTTTAAAACGACCGTTAAGGTATAGCGTCTTTTAAAAAGATGCTATATATATTTTGGTCACTATATTTTTTTTCCACATTTTTTTGTTCTTTGAGTCAAAAGAACCATATTTGGTTCCGGACTCGAGAACCCGCAACCCCTATTCTTCGGGTTCGCACTGGGTAACCTGTTTACTATGCAATAGCTCGCAAACCACACATGGATGTAAACGACACTAGGTACACCCGATGCAATGAGATCTGACGGAGGAGACTGCTAGAGAGGGGAATTGAATCCATTACATTTTTAAAGTTATGGGTTCATATCTATTATTTCTTATAATTTTAATAAAATTTTACGCATAAATTTATGCTCTGCCTCGAAAGTTATGGGTTCAATTGAACCCGTAGCTGTAATGCCACATATGCCACTACCTGAGATGACTGTCAATTTTATTAAATTAATAATATTTGTTGGTTCGGTATTTAAGAAAAAAATCAAACCGTACCGATTATATATTCATGGCGATTTCTTGAGTTTTATATTTTTATATATTGAAGTTATTTAGTAGTGACTTATATATTGATTTGATCATTAAGGTTAGATAAATTACAAAATATGTATGGCTATAAAATTATTTTTTTGATCTAAGATAGTGAAAACATATAATGTCTCATCTTGAAATTCTCATATAGATTTTTTAATAGTAAATATGTTAATCCTACAAAGCCAATAGCATACACATGAAACTTCTTGGTCTGCTGAAAGGTTTGCAGTTGGCCCTTAGCCCCAACCTACTATCTCTAGAAGTTGAAACATATGCAATTGAGGTAATACATCTATTACAAAATGATAATCCTTCTTACTCATATTTGATTAATGACTGCAGGTTCGTGATCTATCAGTTCGATAATCCAAGTATCAAGCATACATATAGGGAGAAGAATTGTTGAGTGCCAAAGTCCCACATCGGTGAAGTACCAATTTTGGTTGGTACTTCACCCTATAAAAGAAGGCCTAATGTTTAGAATTTAAACACACATCTTATTTGCCTTCTTATCTTCTTAAGGCATTTGTATCTTCTCTCTTTAGTATTATTTCACTTGTATTTTTGGAGTGGAATAAAATATTGGTTGTGTCCAAGGAAGTAGGCAAAATTGGCCGAACCTCATAAATTCTGGTGTTCCTTTTATTGTTGTATTATTGTCTTATTTATTATTTCGTGGCTGCCATAATTTTTGGTATAGTAGTTGTGACTCATTCACACTATATACATTTGGCTTCCGCAATAATTGGTATCAGAGCACCTTCATTGGGTGGGAAGCACTATTTTTTAACCTTTGTTGATGATTTTTCTCGAAGAGTGTGGGTGTATACAATGAAGAGAAAAGATGAAGTGTTGGAAATTTTTCTCAAATGAAAAATGATGGTGGAGAATCAACAGGCAGGAGGATCAAGTGTATTCGCACAGACAATGGAGGTGAATACAAAAATGATCATTTTAATAAGGTCTGTGAAAATAATGGCAGCGTCCGACACTTCACTGTCAGACATACACGACAACAGAATGGAGTGACAGAACATATGAAACAAACCTTGCGGGAGAAGGTACGATGTATGTTGTCCAATGCTGGCTTGGGCAAAGAATTTTGGGCTGAGGCAGTTACATATGCATGCCACCTCATTAATCCCTTACCATCTGCTGCTATTGATGGCAAGACACCATTTGAAAAATGGTAGGGAAATCCTACTGTAGATTATGAATCTTTGCACGTGTTTGGCTCAACTGCATATTATCATGTGACAGAGTCAAAATTGGATCCAAGGGCAAAGAAAATTATTTTCATGGGGATTACTTCTGGAGTCAAAGGATATCGCTTATGGTATCCTATGACATAGAAAGTAATATTCAACAGGGATGTTACCTTTGATGAATCTGTTATGGTAAATAAGGTAACAGAAGATACCAAACAAAATGAGGGTGCTTCTAAGCAGGTGGACTTTGAGGAAAAATTTATTTTTCCTACACAAGAAGCAGAAGAGGAAACAAATGAAGATTATCCTCTGGAAGAAGAGCTAGTAGAGAGGGAGATTACAACTCAGGAACCTCAACAACAACTTGAATCAATTGCAACTAGCAGGCCAAAAAGGACAATAACAAAACCTGTTTGTCTTATAGAGACGGTTGCTTGTGCCGCCTCAATTGTAGCTAATGATGTTCCTACCACTTATAAAGACGCAGTCCAAAGTTCAGAAGAAGATAAGTGGAGGATTGCCATGAATGATGAAATACAGTCCCTTCATCAGAATCATACATGGAGATTGGCCAATCTCCCGAAGGGAAAGAAAGCAATTGGGTGCAAATGGGTATTTGCAAAGAAAGAAGGATTTCCTAACCAAGTAGATGTTCGCTACAAAGCAAGATTGGTGGCCAAAGGATATGCTCAAAAGGAGGGAATTGATTACAATGAAGTGTTTTCTCCAGTTGTAAAACATTCCTCCATTAGAATTATGTTGGCTTTGGTAGCACAATTGGATTTGGAACTAGTTCAGATGGATGTAAAAACTGCGTTTTTACATGGAAACTTGGAGGAGGAAATCTACATGACTCAGCCAGAAGGATTCAAAGTTGCTGGAAAAGAAAATATGGTATGCAAATTTGAAAAATCATTGTACGGATTAAAACAATCTTCTAGACAATGATACAAGCGATTTGACAAGTTTATGTTGCGACAAGGGTACAAGAGAAGCAAATACGATCATTGTGTGTATTTGCGCAAGCTTGAAGATGGTTACTTTGTATATCTTCTCCTATATGTTGATGATATGTTTCCAAGAATTCGGAAGAAATTGATAAGTTGAAGATTCAACTGAAGAAGGAGTTCGAGATGAAGGATCTGGGTGAGGCAAAGAAATTTTTTGGCATGGAGATAATAAGAGATAGATGTTCAAAGAAACTCTGTTTATCTCAGAAAGAATTTTTGAAAAGAGTACTACAATATTTTGGCATAGATGAAAAGACTAAGCCAGTTAGTACTCCACTTGCTCCCCATTTTAAGCTAAGTACTACTATGTCGCCAAAAGATGAAGCTGAACAGGAGTATATGTCAAGGGTACCATACGCAAATGTTATTGGTAACTTGATGTATGCAATGGTTTGTACGAGGCCTGAAATTTCACAAGCTGTTGGAGTTATTAGCATATATATGCATAATCCAGGAAAGGAGCATTGACAAGCTGTGAAGTGGATTCTACGGTATATTCATAATACTGTAGATGTTGGGTTAGTTTTTTAGCAGGAAGACAATCGGTCTGTAGTTGGATATTGTGACTCAGATTTTGCGGGTGATCTGGACAAACGAAGATCAACTACTGGTTATGTGTTTACTTTTGCAAAAGCACCAGTTAGTTAGAAGTCTACTTTGCAGTCAACAATTGCTTTGTCTACAACAAAGGCAGGGTACATGGCTATTACAGAGGCTGTAAAGGAGGCAATTTGGCTTCAAGGGTTGCTAAAAGAGCTTGGTATTGAACAAAACAGTATCATAATTTTTTGTGATAGTCAAAGTGCTATTCAATTAGCGAAGAACCACGTTTATTATGCAAGGACGAAGCACATTGATGTTCGATATCATTTCGTACGAGAAATCATAGAAGAAGGTGGAGTCACGGTGAAGAAAATTCATACTACGGAGAATCCTGCTGATATGCTGACAAAGGTGGTGACTGCGGTCAAGTTTCAACATTGTTTGGATTTGATCAACATTGTTGAACACTGAAGATTGAAGATGAAGACACAACCAAAATTTGTTATTGAGAGAAAATTGAAGATGTAGAATTTTGCCAAGGTGGAGATTTGTTGAATGCCAAAGTCCTACATCGGTGAAGTACCAATTTTGGTTGGTATTTCACCCTATAAAAGAAGGCCTAATGTTTAGGATTTAAACACATCTCTCATTTGTCTTCTTATCTTCTTAAGGCATTTGTATCTTCTCTCTTTAGTATTATTTCACTTGTATTTTTGGAGTGGAATAAAATATTGGTTGTGTCCGAGGAAGTAGGCAAAATTGGCCACCTCGTAAATTCTGGTGTTCCTTTTATTGTTGTATTATTGTCTTATTTATTATTTAGTGGCTGTCATAATTTTTGGTATAGTAGTTGTGACTCATTCACACTATATACACTTGACTTCCACAACAAGAATATGGTGAGAGATCGCTTAGCGAAGCAAATTTTTGAGACTACTTCTATCAACACCATAGGTTACTATGATGCACCAACTTTTGTATTTGACCTTTTGCGCGCAGATACACATGGTCCACCTTATGTTCGGCGTGTATCTCCAACTTCAAATCAGCATTCTAATGCAACTGGAACGTTTTTGTACTCAGCAGCTCCAACCACTGGTAGCTCATCCCCTTGTATCACAAATAGTTTTGTCTTTGGTTCCCACTTAGGAAATAGTCAGGGATAACACCCTTCCTTGGAATGATGTTACTGTAGATCCACCCCAAGTAGCCCCCCTTATGTAATAGAGTATGTTTTTGTTTCAATGAAATATAGTCTTTTATTAACCCCCCAAAAAAAAGTTAATTAATTTGTTCGATTCTTGCTTAAATATACTGACGTATCAAAATTATGTCTTTAGGTCTAGTAGTTTTGCGGAGTTGGTTATGTATGATAGGAAAAAGAAAAAGCTATTAAATCAACATAAAAAAAGAAAGAACCAAATGATAAAAGACGTGTGCCTTCAACATATATTTTATTATTTAATTATAAATAATTAGTAGCAGTATATATATGTTAACCTCAACCTATCATTGACAGTGACAAACCACAGTAGCTTGATATAAACACTAAATCTGACTTCAGTTTTTACGGTGATATATCACTATGAAACATCTAAAAGAATCCAGTTAGGTACTCATTACAAAGATCAACGAAAATACGACTATTAGCAGCAACACCACTCATCTAACATAGACATGGAGTATCATGATGGATGTTGATCAACCATCAGTGTAAAAAAATGTATGGCGAAGACCTTTTGCCTATTAATAATGTTTATTAATTTTGTATATCAATTGAAGGCCTCACAAATTCCTACTGAAAGAAACAAAATCATAATTTAAACTTCAGCTTGTTTCCATCACTAAGATTACTGATTTGACGCCTTCAACACTGGAAATTTGGCTATGCCCCTTGTGTGCAGGTTCACTGTAAAACATCCATATCAGGGGTCACAAGTCTAGGCTCCATCTCTTCCTTTGAACGTTCGGCACATTAGAACACATCTGGATTGAATCCAGGGATAGAGTTGCTTTGCTGAGCTTGCCGCAAATGCATTTTCAAAGCATAATTGTTGATCTGTGACATGAAAATGAAATCAGAAAGTTAAGAGCGGAGAAACTTATATCTTTTTCAATTCTCTAAAACTGAAAAGTCTACTTTTTTCTCGATAAGGTAAATCTTAAAAGTCTCCTCCATAGGTGGAGCACTGCAAGTCTTTACAAATCCTTTTCAACTAAACCTGCCTATATTTTACATAGGGTGACAAATGGGCAGGTTGGGTTGAATTTAGGCGGGTCAAGATGGGTTAGATCAATATATGGGTCATGCCCAACCCAGCCCAAAATGTACTTGGACTAAGATGGGCTGGGTCAAGATGGGCTAAACAATGGGTCATAACCCAACCCGCCCAACTTGACCCATGTTTTAGAACCATACTCATCTTGCATAAAAAAAGCCTTTTACCTTAAAATGTATAAGTCAAAAAAATTTTTTTTTGGGGGGAGTGGGTGGGTGATGCAGAAAAATGAAAAAAAAACAGAAAATGGAAAATTAAAAATTAAAAAAAACGTAATTTTTTTTTAAATACAAAAAAAAAAGTAAAATTTTTGTNTGGGCTGCTTAATGGGTCAGAATGAGCTATAAAATATAATGGGTTAACTTGGGCTCAGTCCAAATTGACCCATGAGCTAAAATATTTGTAACCCAACCCATTAATCTCTGGGCGGATTAGATGAGTTTGGGCTCAAATTGCCACCCCTAATTTTACATCAATAACTCTATAATTGTTTAATCTGAAACAGTTTGCTATGGGACAAACTTCACGAATAGTTTGATATGAAGATATAAAAGTTCTCATGAAACAATAGCAAAAAGTATTGTTGGAAGTGGTAGGTGTAAGGAGAGGTAGAGGTAGACCGAGGAAAAATTGGGGAGAGATGATTAATTTTATTCTCAAAAAGCAAAGTCTGAAAACAGAATCGATATGAAGATACAAAAGTTCTCATGAAACAATAGCAAAAAGTATTGTTGGAAGTGGTAGGTGTAAGGAGAGGTAGAGGTAGACCGAGGAAAAATTGGGGAGAGGTGATTAATTTTATTCTCAAAAAGCAAAGTCTGAAAACAGAATCTAGCAACTGAGATGTTCATCTCTATATCAGTTGTTAGGTAATTTTCTGTTAGCCAAATTGGAGGTTAAGTTGAGAAAAGGTACTTCAGTGACATTCTTTGCATTCCAATTATTATCAAATCTCTGCCTGTCACATTGAATGAACTCACTTTTTTATTGAGGTAAAAGAATGCCGAATTAATAAAATTCTATAGCTATACAATTTCCTTTGATATTGCAAGACTTATCCACCTATCCTTGACAGCTCTGCTTAAGAAGACAATTCTAGAATACACAGGTATATTGTTTAAGCGACAACTATTTTTAACATGATTATTATGAAAAAGGGCTTGGACAAGCACTTAGACCAACAAATGCAATAGACTTTCCATTAGTGGTACAGACCAACAAAGAAGAATCTCAACTATTGTGAGAAAATTTAAGATCTTTCAATTTGTCATATATCATGGCCAGGATGAGAAGTTTGTGAAGTTAGAATGTTTACCTCAAGAGTTCTCAATTGCTCTTTACCCTGAGCAATCAGCTGCTTTAATTGATGCACTTCCTGGTTCCTTTCATCATACTCTTTCTGACGTTCATGCTGAATGGCCACTGCCCTCTTGAGAATGGTATTCTCTCGGAGAAGCACTTCTATTTGCTGTTTCAGCATAATATTTTCCTGTGAATTGAGGAACAGTCAACACCCAAAAGAACAAATAAGTTAAAGTCAATAAATTAGCAGGTCAAAGGGTAATCCCAGAATTGTTAATGTAATTCTCATACAGCTGAAGCACCACAGTCCACTAATGTTGCTGATGAAATCGAGGAAACGAGTCTTGGAATGTATAGCGAACATTACTAAATATATTCTTAACCTTATATATATATATATATATATAGCAGTTATATCCAAAAAACGTGATCAACAAGTGATGTTTCCTGCCACCAATCCTTGGCAAGAAATTTATTGCCTGTAAGTCTAGAACTCATGGATTAAAACGGAAACATGCATTTCCAATACCAACCTTGTGAGAATTTTGAGCTGCTTCTACACCTGCACGTGAACTAATGCATTTCTCTAAGTTCTCCAACAGCCTGGTAGCTCGAGCCTTGGCATCATCTATGCTTGTAGCACTCATCATTTCCTTCACAAACAATTCCACCCATTCTGCACCATTGGCAGGAAACTTGTTTTCTGAAGGATCTTCTGACTTAGCAGCCGGCACATTGGTGGGGTTCATACCTGCCAATTTTTCATGAAAATTCAGAATCTTTCTTTTGAAACTAATTGGAAATCATGTTCCTGGTTAATGAGGTATTAACACAATANGTACTCCATACACCACAGAGACACACAAGTACTTGTTAAAATTAAATACGCAAATCTGTACAAGTAATAACCATATGTACATGTATGATAACCATATGTACATGTATACAAGTAAAGGTATGCAAGCGAATACACAAATTTGGGTCAAGATGAATTGAGCAACAGGTCATAAGAACACCTACCAAGCTCAGGTTTGAGGTTGGTTACACTTTTATGAGTTGAAATTGAAACCTCTAGGGTGTCAAATAAATGGGTTGGTTAGAATTTGCAGGGTTAAAGCAGGTTAAATTCATAAACAAGATACAGTCCAATCCGCCCTAAGTGGCTTGGGTCAATATGGATTGATGCGGGTCATATCCCAACCGGCCAACCTCACGTTTGGATGGGTTCCACATCTATGGACCAAAATTGACACCTCCAACTCAGAAACACTAATCAGTATCAAATGAGTGATACCAGTTACAAGATCTAGTATCTGTTGCTGATACAAAAATTGACACCTACAACACAGATACACTTATCTGGAACAAATGAGTGTTACCAGTCACAAAATACTAATCCAGTATCTGTTCCCTCCAAAAACACCTTTAAGTATTTTTTGTATGTGAGTGTGTGTGTGTTGGGGGGTGGGGTGGGCACTTGAGATCCTCAATAAATATGACCAGAAACCATCCATACATGCAACTGATATATTAACCAACTGTAGATACATCTTTTCATTCATTTATAATGGCACATTATTGCAGGGTTAAAGCAGGTTAAATTCATAAACAAGTTACAGTCCAATCCGCCCTAAGTGGCTTGGGTCAATATGGATTGATGCGGGTCATATCCCAACCGGCCAACCTCAAGTTTGGATGGGTTCCACATCTATGGACCAAAATTGACACCTCCAACTCAGAAACACTAATCAGGATCAAATGAGTGACACCAGTTACAAGAGATCTAGTATCTGTTGCTGATACCAAAATTGACACCTACAACACAGATACACTTATCTGTAACAAATGAGTGTTACCAGTCACAAGATCCAATATATGTTCCCTCCAAAAACACCTTTAAGTATTTTTTGTATGTGAGTATGTGTGTGTGTTGGGGGGTGGGGTGGGCACTTGAGATCCTCAATAAATATGACCAGAAACCATCCATACATGCAACTGATATATTAACCAACTGTAGATACATCTTTTCATTCATTTATAATGCCACATTATTTCTGTCAAGGAAAATACAGTTGTACTTCTCCCAGGACAATTTTGCACCATTGTGTCAATTAATAACAGTAGGGTGGACATATACTTGATCTTAGTCAAAAAGCCGAGAAAGGTACATTTTAACGTGTGTGTGTGTGAGAGAGAGAGAGAGAGAGAGAGTCTATATATAAACATATTCCAACTTCACATAATTAGGATTCATCACTCTGAGCTACACCAAGTATATGATAAACAAACAAATCTTTTGAACATATGATGGGATTTTGATATTTACGCACCATTTTCCATCTCTCCATCAGCTTTTGTGTCTGACTTTCCATCTGCATATCCAAGGCGAAGCTCATGCAGGCTCCTAATAGCAGCATCCAGGTCATTGCCAGATTCTTCCAATGCTTTCTCAAGTAGCTGAAGTGTTTGAATACAAAATAAATACCTGGTGACTCACTAGACAAAACCCAAACTAAAAGGTTTTTTAAATGACTAAGTAATCAAATGAATCTTTATACCTAGTCTGTTATAGAAATGGCAACTTTGTGATTCTTATAAAAGCATTTGAAATTCATAGGAAAAGCAGGTTAGCGAGATACTCGATAAAAATAGAATTATCTTTTTTTCCTTTTGGTAAGTAATAAAGTTAGACAGATGAAAATTTTGAACAACATAATCTATGGTTTCATGTTTAACATTGATCCTTGAAACAATGGTCATATCAAGAGTGGCAGATCCAGGAATTTTAATAAGGGGATTCAAAGAATTGAACATGAGACCTAAAGTTACACTTGAACTACCTTTACCACTACAATGGAAACTCCTTATATCAAGGGGATTTAAAACCTTACACACACACGAAAAGATTATTTTTTGTCCTATCTACACCGATTCAATTGAACCCCTTTCATTGGCCGTGACACGGCAATACAAAGAGCCCTACAATTAAAAAAAGAAGTTACTACTTTTGAAAGAAATTTTACAATAAAAAAACACACTGTGTCTCAATCTGAACTAGCTGGTAAGGACTACATTAAAACCTCAATATTCATTCGGCTTCACTTGGACCCGTCTCATTCAAATACTGATAATTTGAATTTTTATGGACAAAATAAAAACAAATAACAAACAATAGTACATTCTACTACTACGATTAAACAAATATCAAAACTATTATACACCCAAACAAAATTATATACATCGAGATAAAGAAAAAAGATAAACCTGGTTGTCCATATCAGGAAATAAAGCTATCAGCTGATTGAAGAGAGACGGCAGCGGGGACGGCGGAGAGAAGTGAACCGGAGAGGTGGTGAAGGAAGAACAACGAAGCTTCTTTGAAACCGGCGGCGACGCTGATGTCGGCGACGGTGATTGTAATTCTTCAAAATACGATCTCTTGCGGCAAACAATTGCAGACATCGTTTAAAACTAGTAAACAAAAACAAATATTGCAGTTTACTACTGCACGATTTTTAATTTAAACCTGTTCTATAGAGCTTTAGTGATTGATTGTATGATCGGGGATTTAGGGACTACGGTTAAGCTTAGGGTTTTGAAATTGCGGGGGATGTAGAGAGATGAGGGAAGAGGTTTTGGCTTTAGAGATTTGAAGCTTTTCTTGAGCTGTATAATACTCCCGACTTCTTTTATATAGAGGGAGATTTCTTGGGGATGTTGAAAGCGGTGTACGTTGGGAAAAGGATTTCAACACGCGCTACATAGAGCGTTTGAATATTTTCGGGTCAAAGGGAAAATACCTAGGCCGGTCTCGGGTTTACATTCCAATTGAGGATTACCAATTAAATTTAATTTGGTAATATGAGAAAAAGATTGTTAACTTACTACTCCATCCGTTCACTTTTACTTGGCATGTATACTAAAAATAGATTTTCACTTTTACTTGTCACTTTATGCATATTAAGAGAAGAAATTTTTTTTTCCTGTTATACCCACAGTATTTATTACTTATTTCAAATCATTTTCTCAAATCTAATAAAATATGCATAAACTAATATGAATATAATCAAAAATTATGCACGTCATTTATTATTTCTTAAGGGGCGTGAAAAGTCAAAATGTGCCAAATAAAGTGAATTGAGAGAGTATAACATATTAAATAGGTGAGAATTAGACACTCCAATTTTATTGTAAAAATCAATCTCTCCCTCGACTATGAATAATAAATATTCCCCCTCTCATTTAATTTGTTAATTGTTTTTTTTTGGTTCAAACTGGAAAATTGTTATTTTAACCAAAAGTATCATGTACAAAGTCGCATGTCCTATGGACTCTAGATGCAGGACCAAAACAAAAATATCCTCTAAGTCTTCCTGCGCGAACTAATATAATAACTAGGGGTATACATAAGTTGGATTAGTTTGGATTTTTTAATTATCAAATCAAATTAATAGTTGTAAATTTTTAAATCTATAAATCAAACCAAACAAACAAAATCAGGTTTTCTCATTTTTTTTATTTTTTTCGGGCTTTCGAGTTTTGTGTATGTTACTTGTGCTGCAAATATTTCTTTAGTCTTATTAAGATGCAACTATATAATGTATTTTCTAAGAAAATAACACTAATATGAGATAAGTCATAACATTATACTAAAATATTCAATAATAAAGATAATAAAATTACATAAAGCAAATATTGCTAATTAATAAGCCATAGTGAAAATTAACATAATCTAAAAATACTACATAGGTCATGCTAAAATAAGTATACCTAATAAGTATTGCTAACTACATAACTAAGCACTAAAGAAAAAGATAAACTAAGTTATGCATTTTCATTTTAAACCAATGTAAAACTAAAAAATATCTAACACTATCGTCATTCCTAGTGTTGAATTGAATCTCTTTTATTAGCATTAGTATTGATTTAAACTTTGTTTGAGTTACTACATTTATGGGCTATAAAATTTATTTACCATTCAAGAATGTTAAGTCCAAACTTTAAATAATACGTTAAAAGATAAAACTGTGAAAAAGTTTAAGAAATATTTATATGTATACAATATTTTTTAAAGTTGTATAAATATATTATCGGGTTAGTTTGGGTTCGGTTTGACATTTTTTTTAGTTAAAACCAAGCCTAAACCAAATCAAACCAAACCACGATCAGATTTTTTGTCCTGATTTGACTCAGATTATCAGTTTGGTACGGTTTATCGGTTTTCTTTGTGTACCCCTCTCGTCAAGGATAACTATTTAACTTCTCTGAAATTGGTTTTCATTTGTATTATCTTTGCCCTATAATGTGCAGTTATTGTGGTAGTATTTTCAAAATTTTAAGTATCCATGTGTCTTTTTAATTTTACAAGTATTCTATCTATTTCCAAGTGATTTCTTGCATGAAGCCTTGTGGCCAAATACTCTTAGATAATTTGTACATGGCAATAGCTTCTACATGTGGCAATATTTCAAAGTTACTATGGACAAATGACTTATTTTGTCCAAGTGGCCTTCCAAGAGAAAGAGTAGCATCTTGCATGTTTGTTCATGGACAAGTGGTAAACCACTTGTCAAGATTAGGGGTGGGCATCGGTCGGTTCGGTTCGGTTTTGAATATTATCGGTTTTTCCTATCGGTTATCGGTTTACAAATATCATAACCCGATAACCAAACCGATAAGATATTGGTTATCGGTTATCGGTTAATCGGTTATTGATCATTATCGGTTCGGTTATCGGTTTACCCGATAAGGTAAAACTAAAACTAAGAGTG